ATTGTAAGGATATATCAAAACACAGATGACCTGAATATGCTATTTTAAATACATGCTTGTAGAACACAGAGCAACCCACTTCACAGGGCTCGCTGGGGCAGAGCCCTGTGGCCTGGCTGGGGCTGCCCTGGGGTCTGTCCCCTGCACAAGGGTGGGGAGACAGCCAGCACTTAGGAGCTCAGTGTGCCTGCCCAGGACCCAGATGTGGTGCCCAGCTGGCCAGTGGCTCAGCTGAGCTCACACGGATCCCTCTGACTCCAGAGCTCCGGCCACCACAGCCTCCATCACGCTCCACTGCCCCTCGTCCTGTGTCCAGCATCCCCTTCAGCAAAGGACTCTGTAGGTGACTGATTAAACAAGGAAAGGGAGGGGAAATAAGCTTGAGGTCATGAAAAGTACACAAGCACGTATGTGTGTGTTTTTTGTTTCTTATTTTGTTGTTTTAAATTGATTGATTTGAGAGAGAGAGAGAAACATTGATTTGTTGTTCCACTCATTTATGCATTCATTGGTTGATTCTTGTATGTGCTCTGACTGGGGATCAAACTCACAACCTTGGCAGAGCAGGACTACACTCTAACCAACTGAGCTACCCAGCCAAGACTGTGTTTTCTTAAAAGTGGTCATCTTTTCATGTCTGTCAGTGGGGCAGAGTATGTGTGTGTTTGCATGTGTAAGTGAGTGTATGTGCCCGCTCACAGGAGGATACAGTAAGGGCAGCAAATGGTGATGTTTTAAGAGCAGTTAGAAATGTGAAGAAGCTCTTGCTTTATACTCCTCTCCACTCTATGTTCCCAATCTCCTTGGAACTGCTAATGAATAACCGATTTTAACACCCAAGTATAATGCCCTCCCCTGGCACCTCCCAGGCTGGGGTGCTGCCATCACACTGAAGTCCAGGGCCCCGGACGTTCCCCAGCAAATACTCAGCTGGGTGGTGAAAACAAAAATGCAGCCTAATTGGTCAGTGGCCGTTTCTCGTGAATGAAGGAGGTTTCTGTTTTAAGAAATAAAGTGACTTCTCAGCTGTTGATTCACTGCCCACAGGGATATTTTAGAGCTGAGGCTTCCTAGCCTCAGTAGAAATTTGCATACAACTTCCACTTCCTGCTTCGGAGCCTGTTCTACTGCTTACCTGGGCCCGGAGAGGGGGGAGGGCGGCGGAGCGGCCCAAGGTAGAGTGACAGGGGAAGGAGCGCGCACGACCACCCGTGGCCAGGGTCTGCCCGCCGTGGTGTGAAGGTAAGCTGCTCAGACTGTTGCCTCCCTAGCCTTACCTCTGAACCACTGACCCACTTTCAGAACAGGCTGTTTTTCTCTTTTACTGAAATCTTCTGTCTTCCATTCCCCCACCTCCCTCTCCCCACTTCTAACTTGCTCTTGTAGAGACCAGCTTGGGCCGAGAAAATGACAGTTAAGTTTCTGCCTCGAGAAAGAGAAAGTGTTGATGGTTTAGTATTTCAGACACGCTAGTGGAGATTAACTCTTTGGGGAGCAGAGGCGCCCACAGGGGAGCGGGACGGGTCGGTGCTGCCTGGGAACCATTTGTTTGAGGACTGGGTGTCCCCTCAAGTTTGGATGCAGAATTCAAGCCCCGCTTCCCCAGGGAAGGAGCCTCCCCAAGGAAGGAGCCGGGGCTGGCGAAGATTGAGTAATTGGCTTCCAGCCCCAGAATCGTCAGTAGCAGAGGTGGAAAGGCGAACTCCCAAGTTTTCTTGATCCCTGTTTCATGCAGGGAAAAAAATTAACACTACATTCTTGCGCCAGAAATCCAGCTCAGCGCCGTGCTGGCTCTGGGCTGCCACCTCCGCCCCCTCCAGCAGCCCTTTCCTCCCACAGCCCCAGACACTTGCTGGCACTGGACAGAGCCCTTAGGGAAAAGGAGGGGAAAATGCTACTTATCTTAAAAGGTCATCATGCTTCATGTATCTTTTAAGTTCAAGATGATCTCTTAGAATAGGGGGATATTTTTTAACGAGGAGGAAAAAGGAGACCAAGTATTTTTAAAAAGAGGACAAGACACTTGGTTTCAAGTTCCCACTCCACTTCTTGCTGGCTCTGAGACTTTGGCAATTCACTTTGGTTTCCCCAGGCCTGGATTTCTTCATTAATAAAATGTGTGGGGGTGAGGGGGGGGGTGGTGAACTAACATGATGCTGTCTGAATTCCTTTCTAACGAAATAAGGCTAGGGTAATGGGACTCCCAGAGGGGAGCCATAATGGGTGGTCTTAGAAGACTCGTTTTGTTTACTGACTTTTCAAATATATTAATTTTACCTCCTGCTGCTAGATAGTTAGTCCCTGGAGGAAAAGGCCATTGTTTCTTAATTTTTTTCTACCCACTGGCCCCCCAGTATCCTGTCAAACACCCCGTGGGTGCCCAGGACCCTTTTCACATAGGCCGCCCCGATTTCTGTTTCGCTCATCTGCTCTCAAGGCTGAAGGTAAACTAAGAGTCCGAGCGCGAGGCTGGGGAACGCTGGGCAGCCACGTGGCTCTGCAGGAGGGCTGCCTGGAATTCAGGCAGGATTCCTGGCTCCAGCTGAACAGGAGAAAACGGGGCTTTCTTGAGTTAGTTCATATCCCGATTGGGTTACGCAGGAAGAACTCTCCAGTGCACTTGCCCAGAGTCCAGGCAGGCCAGAGAACTGGCAGGCAGGCAAGTCTGGCTCCAGAAGACTGCATTACCGACTTTGCTGGAGCTGGAAACCACTCCCAGGCTAGACCAGTCACTGTGTGGGGGGCCTTCCGTGGGAGTGAAAGGAGGCTGGGTGGCACATCCCGATACCACGTAAGGGCGATGACTAAGAGTGGACATATTATCAGATGGCAGACACACAGAATCCTTAACCTCTTCCAAACCACTGTTTTTTTTGTTTTTGTCGTTATTGCTCCTTTTGGGCAATTACTCTCTGCCGGTTTAGTTCAAACAGACCCTGGCTGACTGGGATGGGCTGACTCAGGGCTCTTGGTATTGCTGAACTGTTTCTGTGGAATATCGAGGCCTGGTATGGTCCTCATCATGTTTTTAGATGGCTCTCCCTAGGCCCCTGGGATGAGAGGTCAGGAATTTTGAGATGTTTCACTTGTTACTGATGGGTTACTGATTTTATTTTCAAATGTTGATGCACCATTATCTGAAATCAGGCTAACCGCTGTTTGGCTGCCAGCCTAGTTTTGATCCAGAAAGAGACCACCCACAGTTATTCTTCGTCTGGTGCTACAGCTCCGAGTCGTTCCACGATGGAACACGATGAGCTAGACACCGCGGTAATCGCTCTGCGCGTCGTGTGGGGTGGGCTGACGAGAAGCAGCGTCTGGGCAGGGAACCAGCCTGTTGGGGAGGCTCACTCTGGAGGGTGCAAAGGCAGAAACTGTTTGGGCCTGCTTCTCTCAGGATGGAGGAGTTGGTGACTTTAAAATGCCCCAAAAATAAAAGGAAGAGAAGAAGGCAGTCATATTTTCAGGCATTCTTTAACAGACACTCAGAAAGATAGATTATGTGGGTAGTTTGTCTAAATGAAATCTATGTTTTTTTCCACACCGTGGAATCGAAATCTCAGGAATACCCTGAATTCAAATCATTTTTCTGCTGCGGGCAATTTTAGATTAGTCTTTAAAAACATCTATCAGTGGCAGGCAACTGATGCAGAAAAGAACACAGAGAAGGCACACCGCACTTTAAATTCCTCTCAGATCCCTCGAAATGACCCCTAATGTTTGATCACATTTCCTTATCAAAACAATCCCGCAGCCCTTTGGTGTGAAAGCCTCTGAGGGCTAGAATCAAGAAGCCCTCCCCCTGGGCTTCTCTCATGTCTTCCCAGAGCATTGTCACCAAGATATTTTTAGTTCTCGAAACCCAGGCTGTCCTTTCTCCCTCCCACGTTCTTTGTGTCTCTTGCCCAGCAGGCCTCCTCGGCTGCCACATGTGCTTCCGTGTCTGACCGCTCAGCTCACTGTGTGCCTCTGTGTGTGCAAGTGCACGCACGCAGATGCATACATAGACCCTCCTGGAGACACTGTACACTGGCCAGGGGAGAGGGTGGGCTTTCATCCGCCTTGTGGCCCTAAGTTCTGGGCTAGTTTGTCTTGGTTCCCTGAAAAGGCAGCTGAAATCAAGCTATTTGGGACTCACAAGCCCCCCAGCCCACATGTCCCTCTTCCTTCCACCCCACAGACCTAGGATGGGTGGGCTCTTGGCAGCTCCCTCAGCGATGAGGGAAACTTGGCTTTTCTCTGGCTCATTGTTTTCCTGTACTCAGGTCCCCGGTGTTTTTCCTTCTTCCCCTCCTAGGGTCACCAGGTCTCCCTCCATCCCTGAACTCTCTTCCCTCTTTGTGATGCCTGCTAAGACCCTTCCTGGCTTACCAGCTTATCTGCAACATTCTTGCCTTTTACCTGGATTCATTCTTTTCCTGTCTTTCCAACTGCCCATACGCACAGATATGTAAAAATCACTATTTAAATGTTTCTCTCTTACACCAATAAAAAGCAAATTTTAAAAAAATTGCAAGCACTGGCCAGTGTAGCTCAGTTGCTTGGAGCATCATCCCATAAACCAAAAGGTCATGGGTTTGATTCCCAGTCAGGGCACATGCCTAGGTTACAGGTTTGGTCCCTAGTCAGGGAACGCACAAGAGGCAATCAACTTACATTTCTCTTCACATCAATGTTTCCATCCCCCCGCCTCTCTCCCCTCTTTTCTCTCTCACTAAAAGCAATGAAAAAAAAAAACAAAACTACCTTTAAGGCCTCTACACTTTCCTTGATTCTCATCTCTTCCATTCTCCTTCCTTCCTTTCCATCCCTTCTTTCCCTCCTGATTTTTCCTTTCCGCCCATTCTTCTCCTTTTCCCTGGGTTCTGGCCTGAATTAATCACAAATATGTGTGTGGAGAAATTGTATCTGAAACAAGCAAGCAAACAAAAAAACAACCCATGGGCTGTTTTGAGGTTGTTCTCTTAACGTTTATTACCAATGTCCAACGTGACGTAGACGACTCATTCCCATTAGTCTATCCCCTTCTTGTGTAATGGCTCAGAGGACTTCAAGAGCAGCCTTCTTCAAATCCGGTCAGGTCACGCTATGCTTCCTTTAGCCTGATGTGAGTCATACTGTGCACAGTATGAACAAGGGCCAATAAATGTTCCCTGGTCTCCAGGGCTCACCATTGCTTCCAATCCTCTGGCAAACCAAATGGAAGAACTGCTCTGTCTGGGAAATTCTGCAAGTAAACTTGGAAGTATTTCTTCACTGGAATTTGACCCTGGGCCAAACGAGTTCACTCAAAACCAACTTCTATGAAGCAAACTGATGTTGTGAAAGTTTGCATGCAATTGGGCAGTAAACAAAGAACATTAATGAGTTTAAAGAGTTTTTTAATCCATGACTTTCAGACACATAAGAAAACTACTCCCTGTGGAATGAAGTAAGAAGACCTTGAGTATCTGTCGTTGAAAGTGTCTGATCCAATTTGGATCTGAGGATCTTTCTCGCTCTGAGTTTATATATTTATTTTTAAAGTTCACCTGAAAATATTCATGCTGCATGTGTAGGACTCTTCAACCCTATTGTTGACCCAAAGAACACTTTAAAAAAAAAATCCAAGCAGCTGGCTTACAGCCGCAAGCCTTGATTGCTCGGAGCTGGTGATGTGGTTTATTAATTACTCAGGCTGCTCACTGCTGCCCTTCCTCTGTTTCTCACTCTGCTATTTGTCTTCTTCCAGGGACACAACACCTTCATTAAATCCCTTCCGTCCTTGCCTCCGAGGCGTCCCCTGGAAGCTATCCCCTCTCTAGATGCATCACCATTTATCATCACCCTTTGTTTGTGCTCTGTCAACTAGTTTTCAATTTATTTTGAATTCAGTTTATGATTAAAATTTAATGAGATCCAATCAAGTGCCTTGCTCCAATCAGGATGCCTCTGCAGTCTCATCCGGATCCTCCGCCGTCCCAGCATGAAGGGAAGCCCCCACAGGTTCCCAGCCTGGCCGTTCTTTATGCAACACAGGCGGCCTGTTTTCACACCTCCTCACCTTCAAGGTGAATGGTTCTAAACACATTTGTTCCAGAAGCTTCTACGGGTTACTCGGCTCCCCCCAACCCCTTTTTCCCCACCAAATTGCTGTACAACTTAATGCTTCTGAACGAGATACAAAATGGTTAAGTGCACAGGCTCTGGTGCTGACCTGCTTGTATTTCAATCCCATCTATGCTCCTTGCTGGCCATGTGGCCTTGGGAAATTTACTTAACCTCCCTGTGCCTCAGTTTCCCCATCTGTAAAATGGTACAGACAGCAGCTATCAAAGACAGTGGCTGTGAGGATGAAATAAGTTAATACATGCAAAACACGTGGAACAGTATTTGGCACATAGTACATATTCAGTAAATATAAACAACTATTATTAACAAAGTGCAAGGTTGCTTAAGCAGATCCATTTCACAAGGTTTATATTTTGATTTAACAGCATAAAATCAAATATCAGAGTTCAGTAAATAAACCACAGCCCCCAGGCCAAAGCTGGCCCCATGGTCTGACATAGGCCCATGGCCCAAATTGGTTTAAGGACCAAGTGGGATGATATGTATCAAATATGTCAGAAATGCACATCAGTTCAAAAAGATAAGATCTCCAAACATTAGGTTCATACACCATTGTTAGCATCCAGGTATAAAACCAGCAAACGTAGTGTAGAAAGAGTTCCAAAGCCCAGTCATTTGTTGTAAAGATAATAACGAAATAGCTTATGTATTATTTATTTTTTGAGAGCTTGATACAGTCCAGGCCCTGCAGTCAGCACTATGTTAACATATTCTTTTGTCCTCACACACACCTAAGGGGGAAGTGTTGTTATTTTCCCTGTTTTCCAGATGAGAAGAATGAGGCCCAGAGAAGTTAAGTAATTTTTGCAAGGTCACACGCCCAATCATTCAGCCAACAGAGAAATAACTCAGACCTGGGAGGTTTGAATCTGGAGCCTATGCCTTTAAATATGGCACATTTTCCCACATCCTAGAAATGTGTTGAGTCAGGGTAAGCCCATCTGGGCGACAGCAGCCACAGTTAACTGTGAATATCTGCTGTTTCCACACAGGCCAAAAGGGGTCTCACGGTCCAGCAGGAAGGTGGGTTGGGGATGGGGGGAGCAAAGGACCTTTTTAATGAACTCTGAGATCAGAAAGTAGTGTTGAGAGGAGTCACAGACCCTGTTTCAAGAAATGAATAAAGTCAGGGTGTGCGGAGGGAGCAAAAGGATGCTGGGAGCAAACATGGGCAAAGAGTTGGAGACACCTCAGGGGGGTGATGGAAAGAAAGGGGGAGAGAGGGAAGGGAAAGAGAGTGGGGAATTCTGTGAATGGGATACCTGGGAGCCTTGTCACATGGGATGTCAAGTCTGCTGCCACCAGTATAAGATCTGATCTGCAAAACCAGGCTACCCTGGGGTAGAGTAGAGGAGTAGAGAAAGGTCTCAGGTACAAGGGGGCAAAAAGGAAGCCAAAGAGACAGATTTGGGCAGAGAAAACTGACAGAGGGATTTGAAGAAAGGTGGGGTCAGAACCCGAGAGCAAGAACCATAGCTCATAGCTCAAAGGGCAGTGAGATCCCAGAGAATGAAAAATTACTGTCTCTTGAGTCAGCTCAGAGTGAGTCAGAACCGGGCTAGTTTCAGCCTAGCTGTGTGTACTTGGGACTAGCCTGTGTTCCTGGCTTGCATTCACCCCGCACCCCCCAAGGGAGATGTTCTTGCTCTCCGCGGATTGGTCTTTTATATTTTAAGGGACATGTTTACGCTCCTGGGTGGTCTCAGCAGTGCCACGTTCACACATCGTTTCTTAATCTCTGTGAACATCAGAATCACTAGTGGAGCTTTCCCTTTTTCTTTTTCCTTAAATCTTTTAATAGATATATAGCCAGTTGGCACAAGGTATAAAATGCTCTGAAAAGCAAGTCTCCCTATTGCCCCTGTTCCCAGCCCCCAGCTCCCTTTTCGGAGGCAGCTGCTGCTCTGGAAGTCCGACCTCGCGGCAGACGCAGCCTCAGATGGGACAAAGGGCAATGTGCTCTGTCGCGCGCTCTGCTCTTTCCTTCCTTTAACTTCGCAGTAAATCTCGGAGATGGTTCCACATGCGTTCACACAGCACTTCCTCGGTCTTTCTTAAAAGACACTGAGTGTTCACCGTACAACGGGACAACCGTTCTTTAAAAAGTCAGAACCTCTTTGGACATGTGGCTTGTTTCTAGTCTTCACTATTATAAACATCGCCGCATTGCCCAGCTTTGTGGCCGCTTCATTTCACATGATATGCACCCATCACTGTAGAGGAAATTCTTAGAAGTGAAATTGCAACGTCAAAGGACATAAGCTTTTCAAATAGTTTCTACCAAATTGTACAGATTACACTCCCCTCAGCAAAGTATGAAAGAACCTACCAGCGGGTGGAAATCAAACAAAAATATACAGGAGTCTGGGCATCTGTACCGTGGGCCTCCGAAAGAGATTCTGAGCCAGAAACCCCCCTGGGTTCCCTCCACCTCCAGCCTCTCTGCTTCCCCCAGGGATCTGCCGCAGTGAGGCAGATATGGCCTCCAGGTCCGACAGGCCTGAGCTTTTCTCCCCGGCCTTGGAACTGGGAGCCCAGCACTCTGCCTAAAGGGCCTGTCCAGGGCGGTGCCAGCACCGAGGCTTGCAGGGGCCTGGCTGGCAGGGACCTGGCTGGCAGGTCTCCCCCCCTCTCTGGGGTCAGACCCTTCCTAGGTCATAGCTAGAAAACAGGGTTCTCCACTTGAATCCAATGTCCTTCTTGTTAGGGACTGGAGCGCAGGCCGCGCCAGGGTTACAACCATGTCATCATGTGGAGAATCCTGGAATAAAATAGGGAGAATGGAAATGGTTAGAAGTGGTGAGACACTGAGTGATTTTTTTAATGTGTAGTATTTTTGCAATATTGACATTAAAGACCAAAAATAAAACTGCCAAGAGCTAGAACCGCAGCTCAACCCATTAATCTGCCATTGTCCTCTGATGTGGTGTTTTTGTGGAAGTGTTCTTGGACACCCTCGGGAGGGCCTCAGGCTGGGAGGGGCCCACGTGGTAGGTGCATGTGCCCCTCCCTTGTGATGTTGGGGGCCAAGCTCTGAGGACACATGACTAGAGCAGCCACCTTGCTGTCCGTCACATGTTCCTGTCACACTGGGTGGTGGAATCACCTTTACTCTGCAAGTAGGGCTATGATCCACTCTAACCTCTGTGATCCACTCTAACCATGGTTGGGACCTCTTAGGCATGGCCCAGGCCCACCTTGGGCCTGACGCTGACTGGGCACTTATAAATATCAGACAGGAAGAAAGCGAAGAAGAGGGAGTGTGCCCATTTGGCATAATTTGAAGAACTCTGAGGACTCAGTCCACCAAATACTTCGTGCTACCTCTCATGGATCCTGACGTCCTCACTGTCAGTGATCCTGCCAGCCACACAGATCTGTCACCTCTCCAAAGCAGGTATCAATCATTGATTCATTCAACAAATATTTATTGAGCTCCTACTATGTGCCAGCTATAGTTCTAGGTGCTGAGAATATAGCTGTGAATAGAATAATGAAAAATCACACCCTTGGGAACTTTAAATTCCGGGGGAAAGAGGGGTGGCAATAAACAAAGAATGTAGTAGATGTTTGTGTTTACAATATACATTTAATAGCATGTAAGATGATGATAACTGCTAGAGAGGACAGTAAAATAGGGTTGAGAGGGAATGAGAAGGGCGTGTAAAAAATTTGGAAAGGGTAATCAGGGAGACCTAATTGAGAAAGTGACAGTTGAGTAAAGAAAGCAAGGAAGCCATGCACTGTGTGGGGGAAGAATGTTCTGAGAAGTAGAAATAACAAATGCAAAGGCCCTGAGGTGGGGCCTTTGATCTCCTGTATTAGTTTGCTCTCTTGATCTGGATCACGGGCAACTTGAAGGTAGGGATATGTTTCCTACGACTTTAGAAATAATTTTGATTACCTTTTGCTATATACCCATTTGTCCTCTTGAATTTTGCATCACTAGTAGGTATTGCCTATTGTAAATAACTTTTAGTTAAGCTTATGCCTAAGGAGGACACACAGCATTGAGTTGGACACATAGCAGGGTTCAGTGATTATTTGCTATTTAACTATTTGATAACAACATGTTTAAAACATCAGGGTCCTCTTTTTTTTTTTTTTTTTTAAGGATTACTAATCCCATAGCTTTCCCGAGAGGCTGCTGATTACTGTGCCAGGTTTATTTACTGCCATCCCAGGGACCGGTTTTCACTGTAGGTCCATCCTACCACAGAATGGACCTCGGATTTCCAGTTATGTAACGTGACCGCACCTGTCACCTTTTTTGTTAGCTCCCTCCAAACCCCTGAAGGCTCCTCGTGGAGAGAGTAGAATTTGCAACTTTCCTTGTTGTTTAGGGAAGCACTTCCTAGTTATTCACATTCAAAAACCCAGGGAGAATGTAAACAGCAGGTGATGAAAGCGAATCCCATCACTAGCAATATTGAGAGAATTTAGCCCTCTTTCTAGTGGGCTCACCTGATGTCCTTGTGCCTCCCACCACTGTGGGCCCACAGATGCTGGCAGATTACACAAGCTCAGCCAGCCCTTCAGAAAACGCTTGGTTTCCTGACCAGCTGAAGAACATGTTGCACGGCATATCCAGTTTCAGAGCTGTAGAAAATTGTAAGAATGAAAGGAAAACGATGGTGAGCATTGAAAAATCACAAATAGTTGAAATATTTGTGGTTTTGGTAGGTTCCCAATCACCTTAGGTGATGAGATCTCTTTTCTGCAGAGATGAGGAGAAGGGCCCGCACAGTCTGGAGCGCAGCCTGGGAAGGAGAGAAAGAGGAGACAGGCAGGGAGAGGGGGCCAGCCAGGAGTGAGAAGCTCAAGTTTTCTGTTGTGCCAGAAAACTGTACAAAGGTCATATGCAGCAGATGGGTAAGGTTGTTACCGAGTGTGGGCAAGAGAAGAGTATTGGCATCCCTTTGGCACACAGTGGAAAGACAGATTCAGGTATCATTCTACAGGCAGTGAAGACAAAATTGGTGGGAAAGGGTAGGCCCCACCTCTGCTCTGAGGGGGAGCATTTGAAAATGCATGCTGGTGTGTTGCCACTGGGTTAGACACAGGGCTTTGGAGAAGGTGAATTCGTATTTTTCAAAACTTGTCTTAGAACAATAGCTGAGGTACACCATGATTTTAGGCACAGTAAGCCCTCAGTAAATCTTGGTGGTTGAGATTCTACACAGATCCAAGATATGAATTTAAAAACCCACCCCCCACGAGCACCACCCCTTTCTCTGTGTGGCATTTAAAGTATGCTCAGTGCAAGGCCTGCAACGAACAAGCCTCTGGGATTTTTCCCTTTTTCACGCCCTTGTCCCCTCCCAGGACACCTGCTCCTGCTTGGGAGGGGAGCACAGACCTCAGTCACTCTCACGCCTCCGGTCTCTGCCAGCTGTCTTCCCTCCCCTGCGCCTCCGTGTCCTGGGGCTCCATGGCAATCCAAGAGGGGAAGCCAGTTTTCTTCCTCATTTTGTTATGTCGATTAAGAGTTCCATTTCCACAGGTAAAACCAGTACTACCTGGGCTGTGGGCTAATGGCTAGTTTAGCAAAGCTTGCTAGTTCAGCCAGTACATCCCAAACCAGATGCGCGCGGCTGTCTCCATTGCAGGGCACGCCGCCAGAGGAAATGAAGTCCTCTCAGCAACCTGCGGTCGTTCAGTGTTCAATGTCACTGTGACCTTTTCTCAGGGCTTTTAAGTGTGGGATTTCTTTTTTTTTCTTTCCTTGTTTGATTGGGCGATAGTCACACAGCAAAATTTTGAATGTCTGAAAGGTGAAAACTCTCTCTCTCACACCTCTCCCCCAGCTCAATTCCATCCCCAGAGACAGCCAGCATCGCACTGTCTTGTGTCTCCTCTGCTCACGGCCCAGATGTCTGCGAGCACACACAAAGCCGCACACAGCAGGACTCAGTTTCTTTCCTCGACACCCCGCCTTTGATTTCTGTCTGTCTTCCCCCGTGCTGTCTGCCGCGCGATTGTCCGGTCACATTTCCTGAGTCGCCATCCAGATACAAATATCTTAATACACACGAGTGCCTTTGCCTGAAGGACAAGTAAACAACTTTATGTGATTGGGGCTCTGTGAGCATGTTGGTGTCACACCACTGTTAATTTAAACCACATCTCGAATGAGGTCCCTTAAGGTCATAAAGTAGGGACTCCAAAACATGATCTGTCTTCTAAGACTGTGGCATGTTTTCTCTTCTTTCAGAAATTAGAATGAACCGAAGCATTCCCGTGGAGGTTGATGAATCAGAACCATTCCCGAGTCAGTTACTAAAACCAATCCCAGGATATCCGCTGGAAGAGGAGTCAGAACCACCTGCTCCACATACAAGGCACATGGCACCCAACTGCGTGTCGGCACCCAACAGCTTGTCCACACCCCAAGCCCCTGATTGTTCCTCAGGAGACTTTTCTCAGGCTTACCCACACCTGAAACTTTCAAACTGCCGGCGGCCTGTGTCCCAGCAGATCACCTGCCTGCGCACCAAAGTCCTGGCGGAGGGTGAAGACAGCTTCTGGAGGAGACACCCGGACTGCTCTGCAGCCAGCGAGTCTGTGGTTGGAGCCCTCCCACAAGAGCATCAGTTTTTATTTATGGAAAAACGTAATCAATGGCTGGGATCTCAGCTTTCAGCAGCTTCTCCTGACACTGGCCATGACTCACACAAATCAGACCAAAGTTTACCGAATGCCTTAGCAGACTCCTCAGGCCAGAGCCAAGACATGGTGCCACAGCCCCAGCTCCACAGGAGCCGAGCAGCCCCAGATCTGCCGACCATAGACACGGGGTATGATTCCCAGCCCCGGGACATCCTGGGCATCAAGCAGCTGGAAAGGCCCCTGCCCCTCACTTCTGCGTGTTACCCCCAGGACCTCCCCAGACCTCTCAGGTCCAGGGAGTACGATCCGTTTGAACCACAGAGGTATCCAGCGTGTGCACAGATGCTGTGTCCCAGCCCTTCCGCACGTGCTCAGTGGAACTATCAGTACCATTGTCCTGGAGGCCCCCATCACCAGGTGCCATGTAAGTGAGCCTTCCCTCTTTTGAACATTCTGGGCTCGGTGACTAGGTAAACAAGGTCAATGCCTCGTATCCACAGGTCAGCACAGACACGTCAGAATGCAGGGAGGGCATTTTGCTTCCCATAGGGCCTTCCGTGTGTGGTTGGATTTGCAAGGGGCTTTAGAAGAATACTTTATCTTGGCCCAAAACCTGTCCCACTTAGAGCCTGCTTCTCTAGAAAGCTTTAAGGGCAAAGAAAGTTTCTTCTGTCTAGGTTAATTTAACGGAAACCTGCCTAGAGGCAGGAAGATGACCCAAAAGACTTCTAGAAAACTTGTTTGTTGTCTTAATGCTTGGGCCTCTGGGTTCCTCCTCTGCATGCTTCCTTCCCATCTTAGATTTGGCAAAGGGGCCTTCAGCCAAAAAATCAGAATGTCTCTGAGACTCTGGATTCACGCCATGACCTGAAGATCACATTGCTCCTATGATTCGGTTGCTTCAGTCCCTTAGCAGACCGCAGCCACTCACCGCTGCCCTCTCTTCTAGCCGCACCCAGGACAGCAGTCCCCCAATTGGCCTGGCTGTTTTGTGCCCCAAGCATTTGCCCATCCAGGATGCTCTTCCCCTTGTTGTGCATTTGACCCAGCTCTACACCTCTTCTTCTTCTTAAGCAGCTTTATTGAGATCTAATTTACATGCTGCAAAGTTTACCTTTTGCCCATTTTAAGTGTACAATTCAATGAATTGTAGTATATTTACAGAGTTGCACAACCATCACTATGTACATCTTTTAAGACTTAGCTCAAGTGTTCCCTCTGAAACCTTCCTGGATGAGTCCCTCCCTCAGGCTCTCTGTATCGTTGTTTTCTGCCTGTCAGAAAGGAGGCTAATAACCAGTATGTACACTTGTCTTTCCAGAATGCAAGCTCTTGCACATCAGTAAAGATGTATTTTCAACCCACAATTCCCCAGCATTTAGCACAGTGACCACCGTATACTAGACTCTCAGTAAATTATTTCTGAATGAATGAATGAATGAATGAATAATATGTATCAGTACATTAAGCATCTCTGAAACCGATACAGTCTTAAATTGAGATAAAGGGTTCATCATAATCCTTGGTATTAAATCTCCACCAAGGCCACTGAAAAATAATGACAGGACTTTACAGATCAAACGCAGGGCTCTGAGACAGGACACTTTTCTTAGCACATAAACACTGTACCAAAATCAATTCAAGTGGTACAAGAAGAGTCTTTCCAGAGGCCTGACACCTAGTTTTATAATAAATTATAGAAAGAATTACAAGTGCCGTATAAACCACAATTTACATATTGTGCTTGTACATTTAGCTCCCTAAAGTGAATGGAGCAATAAGTAATTAATAATTTTCTTAAAGGAAGGAAATAGAGGAATTTAACTTAAAAGAAACAGGTAAGAAGGAACATGACTTTCAGAGAAAGGCCAGGAGGTGTGAAAACAGCAGGGCTTGAGGAGAAAGAGCCCTGAGGCCTAAAACCGAGAGGCAGGGTGGTGGGTGCTGGGAGCCAGCTGCTGGGAGTCGCGGTGCCACCGCCTGCTCTGTGTACCCAGCATTAGCACTCATGGCGGCTGGAGTTCCCTAAGCGAGAGAAACGAACCTTGACAGGGTCAGGGTTGCCTTTATTTCTCAATGATTTCCAGGTTAAAGGGTGAAAAGAATACCATAAACTGCTTTTTTAAAACACTTATTATCTGCACTTAAAGATAATTTTTCTGATCACAACAGTAATATTTGTTCACGCTCAGAATCGGAATGTGCCGGAAAGTTCAGTTTGTATTTCCATCACCCAAATGTAATTCCCTATTAGGCTTTTGACGCATTTCTTTCTGTTTCTTTTTTCCTTGCTTATACATTTACTGTCAAATCAAACTGGTTTCCAAGGACATTCAGTGCACTTCTTGTGGCATCATTTAAAAACGCTACATAGTATTTCATCAGATCAAGCTACTAAATTGTTTTCTTCTCCATTGTTGGACATTTTAAGTAGTTCCCAGTTTTTTATCCAATAAGCAATGATGTGACAGGCATTATGTACATAAGTTATCTGCACCTCTGATTAGTCCCTTAGATTAATGTGTAGATGTGTGAATAGTCAAGGGCTTAGTGATACTAAATCCCAAGCAGTTGCTTTCATCTCCTCACAGGAGAAAGCTTCATGGTGACAGCCAAAGGAAGGTTTGGCTCATTGGAATATGAGGGTCCCAGGAAGACCTTCCTATCTGAAAATATCTTCCCATTGAAGCCTAAAATGGCACCGTTAACAGTCCAGTCTTTGGAGGTAGGCCTCGCCCGCTCTGGGCAGGCTCTCTTAAACTGCAAACGCTCCCGTCTAGGGACGTGTTTAGCCTCCAGTACCTCACGGCCTGGTTTCTTTCATCAGGTCCCTTCCCTTTGCTTTCTGTATTCTTTCCTTCTACTGAGGGGAGGGAGGAAGGGGCCGCCTGGGATCCTGGGAGTGAAGGGAGGTGATGAAAGGCAGAGAGGAGAGAACTTGGACAGGAAAATGGAACAGTTCACAGAAAATATACAAATAGCCAATAAAC